CCCCAAAACCCCAAAACCCCAAAACCCCAAAACCCCAAAACCCCTAGTTTTATTTTATTTATTGTAAATATATGAAAATAGGCCAAAGAGCAAGTCCAAACCACATTCACTCAAAAGGATTTGGAACAACTTCAAACTTTTATCAAGGTTCGAAGAAGAGCAGAGAGGTATGATAGAGCAACCTTATTACTTACAAAATATTTAGAGAGAAAATCATGTCAATGATCTCAGGAGTAGGCATTTAAGAACAAATAGCTTCATGGACAAATTCACTAATAATTCAAAAATAAATTCACACAAAAAGCAAGGTTCCTTAAGCGGAATATTTGCTAATAACTTACAAAGCCAAGATATTCTTAACAAGGATAACAGGAATGCTTTAAATAATACTCTCCAAATTGAGACTGGAAATGGGTCGCTTGAAAGAAGCAACTTAAATACAAGATCTGCTGCAAACTCGCCTGCTCATCATCGAAAATAACTCTCACAATTTTAACGATATGAGAAGTGAATTGCCTCTGATATTCAATTCTCCTTCAAACACAGTTAGAGGAAATTTAGAGTCAATTTTAATTAACAAATCCAACAATGAGAGGGGGTTTAAAACTCCTATCAAAAAGCACATGCCGTACTGGGATGCCAAGTCTCTTCAGGATTCCCAAAACTTCATCAAGCAGCAAGAAGTTGAAAAACTGATCTTAAAATAACAAAAAGATGAGCTATAGGAGCTTTCTTGAAAATCAAATGAAGCAGAGACAACAGAAGGAAAGTGATGAAAAGGAGCAAAACAAGAAGGACTTTAATAAAATGCTCAATAATATCAATAGCATCGAGCTGCATGATCGCAGGGCTTTCCACCAACAAAAGAAAAAGCTGAATGAACAAAATCTCCGGATGCTAAGACAATACGAGAAAAATAATGAGCATAAGCGCAAGCTAAAGTCTAAGGACCTTAAAGAAGAACTTCACAATGCGAATAAAGCAAAGGTCCAGCTAGACTCTGATAAAATGAAGGATTATGTCAGAAAACAGCAGCTTAAAGAGCAAGAAAGAAAGGATGTACAAAGACAGATTGACATAAAGAAGAAGATCAAGATGGTTAATACAGAGGGAGATCGCAAGGAGATGGACCACATGCTTAAACATGAATTTGACCTGTTTGGAAGAAACCAGATCAGACACCAGAACAAGATTAGTAACATCATGAATAGAAATGAAAGAATTCTACATGAAAATACTAAATACAGCAACTTCAAGCAGATTAATAGTGCTAAAAATTCTACTTTTAATGAGTCTAATTCCTTGCTTCTTACTCAGAATGCTAAAGATCTCACTCAGAGAGAGCGAAATCTGAAGTGAAGAGAGATGCTTCAAACTTATAAACAGCAAATCATAGAAAATGAGAAGAGAAAAAAGAAGAGCCTAAATAACAAAAAGAAGGTCGAACGCTTCATCTTTGATAAAGATAGTGAGATTGTTACTCACCAAGTAAAAGAGGAAAGATTACAAGACCTCAAGAAGAAAGCTCAACTAAGGAAAGAACTTGACAGGCAGATCAGGGATAAAAAGAAAGCAGAGCAAGAAGAACTCCTCTCTGTATATATCTAGCGTCTTAATAGGACTATCAATTTCTTGTGAGTCTCAAGGGGTTTTGGGGTTTTGGGGTTTTGGGGTTTTGGGGTTTTGGGGTTTTGGGG